ATTGTAAAGTATTTCAGAAGTGAAAAAGTAAGATGGTTCAACAGTGCTATATAAAATGTGAAAACAAAAGAGAATGAAGACTCACACACTATAAGCAATACTAACGAATTCGGTTTCTGTATGTAAATAAAGGGCATCAATAAAAATAAAAGCAGCTGTCGTAGAAATCAGAAACAATAATTTGCACTGAGATTTGATGATCAGAGCAATCATTCCATTCAAGCGAAAACACGTTATTTAATAATCGAAAATAAGAAGAGGACTTCATATATCGTAGATATGACTGTAACAACTATATGAAAAAAATTCAAAATTTAACAAAAAAATAAATAAATAAAAGGACCTTGCCTCAGAACTGACAAGTGGTGATCGTGCCTATATGTGCCCGAGACTGGATGAATGTATGGACAGAGAAATTCCAGACGATGTCATTGATATAATCTGTGACGATACTGAGAAATGAGTGTTAGATTTTATCAACAGTATTATCAGCTATTCTCCAGAGATATCCACCAGAGATCTGGAGCGCTCATTATAATAATTGCACTAAAAAAAAGCTAATCGCCCAGACATCGTAATCAAAGATAGCAAAAACAAAATATGCCTTCTTATTGACATGACCTTCTCTGCAGATTGTAATGCATGTTGGAAGATCTTGAAAAAAAAACCTACCAAAATACATTGAAAATTGAAGTGAAAATCTCAAAACTAAAGCACATGAGAACATCAACAATTCCACTTGTAGTTGGACCCCTCGGATTGATTCGAAAAGTTTCCGATAGACTCACTGAAGGGATTCCTGGTAGGCCAAACCTTAAAGAAATGCAAAACATTGCACCCTAAAGTACAGTCCACAGCATTTAGAGTGTATATCTATGTAAAATATGTACGATGGTAAGTGTTTTTGTTACCATCAGACCTGCTCAGTGCAAAGTAAGTCTTGATGCAATTTCTGACCTTAGGTCTCTGATTGGAACCCGGAAAGAAATGAGTATACACCAGGAATCAAAGGAAATAATAATAATAATAATAATAATAATAATAATAATAATAATAATAATAATAAGGAATGGTACAACCATAAGCCATGCAATATTTTCTGACACCTTTCAATACAAGCAGATAACAAATTGGAGCACAACGAAGAAGACATATTAATGGAAGATAAAATAGAAAACGAACTGCTAATTATTGATCTATCGTGTTCTTTTGTTACAAGTATGGAATAAATGGAACAAGAGAAAATTAAGCAACTACGATTGAATTTTGAACTGGCAAGACTTTGGAAGTTGAAGAATGTTACAATCATAGCAGTTGTCGGTTTAGTGAATCAAAGTCTCGAGACACGGATGAATAACACTGGCACTAATTGCACGGGGGGGGGGCTATTACAGAAAGGAAGTCTCTTACGTAGAGAAAGAATAATCCGGTAAGTGATGAACGTTTAGCGTCAGAGAAAAATTGTATGAAAGCTAAGTCCGTCGCCGTCCGAGAATTAATTACAAGATTTTAAGATCTTTATTTACACCATTTATATTTGGATTATTTTCCTCATCATTGTTGTTATTACCGCAACGATTTGGCTATTGTGCCCTCCTGTTTTCCTCTTTCGCTCTCATCGGAAACATAATGTGATAACAATTAAGATAATTTCGTAAAAAATAATAGTAAGGCACTAAAATGCTATTGAAGTGACTGGAGACCAGACTTGTTTGTTGTAGAACTAAATAGAAAATATATATATATATATATATCAATTTCTCTTCAGTGATGACTACAGATGTGCAGTCGTTACGGGGCAGGAATGAAAAATGCACATAAACAATCTAACAAATTAACTCACGAGGAAAATATAACTATTCATGACTGGGTATCATCTGATATCTAGTATTCGTAAATAAGATATGAATTTGTTCTAAGAGTCGGCGGTCTATGCAAAAAAAAATATATATATACAAGTCCTTCTTTCAGTAGATGGCTGATCATGCCGCTATACAACTTCCTATCCTTTGCAGCGCTTTTGACCTTTCGTCATCTTTCATAATCCCTGTTCTGCCATTCATTTACACAAGCTCGTTAACCTGGTTTCTCACTGCTTTGTTTTGGTACTACTGTGTCCTGTCTGTGTCTTGTGTGTGTCTGATTTTCCTCATTTTATGATCTCGAAAAAAATCCAACTATCTCTCTCTGACTTTATGTAGAAGCTGCTTTTTTGTTTTTATTTTCCTTAAAACTTTCTCGTTGCTCTTATTTTTAGTCCATGGTATTCTCAGCATCCTTCAGTAGAAGAACATTTGTTTTGCCTTAACCTTGTTTATCTATGAGCATATATAGTAGGACCGATATTACATGTCAATTTAGTATTATTTTCTTTGTTTCTAACGAAAATTCCCTGTTTCTTAACGTTTTACTTAGATTCAGAAGGCATCTTTCCGATGTAACTTTACTTTTCGGTTTAATTTTTTCCACACTATGTTAATGATATTCCAAGATATTTAATTTTTCGTACTTATTTGATTTCTACATCAACAATTCGTAGTTTTTCTGTTTCTTTTCCTGACAATAATACATTTTGAATTCTTACAATTCAGGATTAGCCCTTTCATACCTTCTCTTGGGGTTCTGCTATCTCCTTGACGTATTTGTCGGGAACATTGTGTCATCATATTATATAAAATTTTATTTATATTGTGTCCACGAATCAGAAAATCATTGTAGGACTTAGAGTTCTGGAAATTAAACTTGAAATCTGAAAATCCTATGAAGACTTTAATCTATGCTAAAAAGTAGCATTAAACAAAATTAGCAAATATTCTGAGAGTCGACTTTGAATAGAGAAAAGATACCTGCCCTCACTTGATCTCCATTTAAAGCCAGCACATATGATTGATGTAAAAACACAACGAGTGCAATAAAAACACTGAAATATGCTTCCATATGAAATTAAATATCGATATTGCTATGATTGAAAATGCTATTATTATTGATTATAATCATTATTTATTATATCGTTGTTACTGTAGTAAAATAAGAAATACCTTGTAGAATTAGAGCCATTAATCGAAGCTGAAGACGACATGACAAACCATCAAACTTGACAGATATCAACTCTGTAGCAGGCAAACAACAATAAACCTGGAATGATAGATTGCTTCTGATCTGATCATAATAAAAAAAAGTCAATTAGGAAGTCTCAATGAAGGGGGTGCAAGTGATAGATAAATTCAGAAAGATAGCAACTTTCATTAAAGAAAATAGAAGAATAAATGATAAAAAGGGTATTGATTTGAAGGGGGAGATAGAAAAGCGGCACAGAATAATGATAGATGTATCACAACGAATATATGTGGTAAAGAGACATAAGCTGGTAGAACCAAAGGCTAACGAAGAAAAAAACGAAATAATGCAAATGTTTGTAAATAACCTGAGAGCGAAAAAATGAATGGAATACAAAGTGACAAGGAAATAAAAAATGTTATTAAACGGATGCAAAACCACGAAAAGAAAATATTAAGGAAATAAAATGTAAAACAAAAGATTGAAAACTCGAGTCGCAAAGAAAAATCGAAAAAGATCCCAAATAAAGATGAAGAAAATAGAAAGGAAAGAGAGAGCTATAAAGCAAATAAATACGGGGAAAAATGAAAGAAGAATTAATTCTGTACATGAATGAAGAAAAATACGAATAGAAAAAAAATGATAAATTCCAGAAAACAATTAAAAAAAGAATAACAAATAGCCATTAATTAAAAAAGTGAGAAAGCAAAAATAAAATGGCAGGAAATAGAGACAAAAAGAAAAAATCGGAAAGAAACAAGGAATTGATATAGAAAATAAGGGGAAAAAACAGTAAGAAAGGAATAAAATGAAAGAGAGCATGAAGGGATCACGAAGAATGAAATAAGGGAAAAAAGAAGGAAACTAGCAAATAAATATTGCGAAAGAAAAGGGAGAAACGAAAGGAAAATGTTATTTTGTAAATAAATACAGAAAGAAAAAAGAAAGAAAAACGTGGTAAAAAAGTTAAAAGAAGTAAGAAAAAAATGATTTATTGCAAATAGAGTAAAAATTATTGGACATTAGGAAATAATAGGCAGATAAAAAAGAAAGAAAGGAAACAGAACGAAAATTTTGTAAAGACAGAGAACGCATTGCAAAGAACAGACAAAAGAAATAAAAAAATAGAAAGAAAGAAAGTATTTCAAAGAAAGCGAACGCATGTAAATAAGAAGGGAAGAATGAAAGGCCGTTTAAACAAATGGAAATCGTCCAAAGAAAAAAATGAAAAGAAAAAAAAGAAAGGAAAATCTTACAAAGAAACTTTGAAAAGAAAGGGAAATCTTGCAAACAATGAAAAAAGAAAGCAGGAAAGAAGGAAAGGAAAGTCTTGCAAAGAAAGGGAAAAGAAAGAATGAAAGTAAGAAAAGGAAATATTGCAGAGAAAGAAGCTAAGAAGACTAAACATTGAAAGAAAGGGAAAACTTGCAAAGAAAGAAAGAAAGAAAGAAAGAAAAATATTTTATAAAAGCCAAATGTTGCAAATAAATAAATAAATAAAAGAAAACTTTGCAATAAAAAGAAATCTTGTAAAGAAAGAAAGAAGGAAATAAGAAAGAAAGGAAAGAAAGAAGACCTTGCAATGAAAGGGAAATCTTGCAAAGAAAGAAAGAAAGAAATAAAGATCTTGAAATAAAAGGGATAGAAAAGTAAGTTAGGAGGAACGAAAAGAAAGAAGACTTTGCAATGAAAAGGAAATCTTGCAACGACAGAAAGAAGAAAAACATTGAAAGGAAAATGAAAATAGGAAAAAAAAAAACAAAAGAAAATGAAAAAAAATAAATAAAGAAAACTTATTGAAAGGAAAATGAAAATAGGAAAAAAAGAAAAAAAAAGAAAATGAAATAAAAAAAAATAAATAAAAACAAAACCTAAAGAAAGAGAGAAAGAATGAAAAAACTTGCATTGAAATGGATACCCTGCAAAGTATTAAAGAAAAACATTCAAAAGAAAAGGGAGGTTTGGAAAGAAATAAAAGAAAACCTTGCAATGAAATGTGAATCTTGCAAAGAAAAAAAGAAAGAAAGAAAGAAAGAAGGAAAGAAAGAAAGAAAAAACTTAAATTGAAAGAAAAACTTTTTTTGCAAAATTTGCAAGAAAAAGAAAAAAAAAAAAAACATTGGAAAGAAAAAAGAAAAATTGGGGTTTACAAAGAAATAAAAAAGAAAGAAAAAGAAAGAAAGAAATGTGAATCTTGCAAAAGAAAAAATGAAAAGACACTTGAAAAGAAAGTATTTACAAAAAAAGAAAGAAAGAAAGAAAGAAAAGGGAAATCTTGCAAGAAAGAAAGAAAGAAAGAAAGAATCTTGCAAAAGAAACGGAAGCAAAAAGAAAAAAGAAAGAAAGGGGAATCTTGCAATGAAACAGACACTTGCAAAGAAAGAAAGAAAGAAAGAAAGAAAGAAAGAAAGGGAAATCTTGCAAAGAAACGGACACTTGCAAAGAAAGAAAGAAAGAAAGAAAGGGAAATCTTGCAATGAAACGGACACTTGCAAAGAAAGAAAGAAAGAAAGAAAGAAAAAAAACATTGAAAAGTAAAGGAATTCTTGGAATTCCTTGCAAATGAAAGCGGAAGCTTGCAAAGAAAAAAAGATAATAATAAATCTCACTCACGACAAACTAAGAAAGGTGAAAATAATCACAACTGATGTCATCTAAATAGAAAAAAGGACAAAGAACAAATCAGAGAGCAAATTAAGATGGAAAAAGAGCCAAAAATAATGTGATAGTAAAAATAAAAACGAAGACAAAGAAGAACACAAAGAAGTGCAAAGCAAAGTAGAGAAAGAAAGAAACGAAAAAGACAAATGAAGAAAGACAAGTATAAAAGGATAGCTCCAAATTAACAAACGCAATGTGAATGGAAGCAGACGGCAAAGTCGAGTGATTAATCATGTGTTCAGTGACGATACCATTCAACAGATATATTTTCACCAGTCTCTTCAGAGTCTTTTGGGAAATCCATCTACATTGATCACTGGCTGATTTGACCCAGGATTCCCGCCCATCAGTTACGCACCATTACACCAAGCAGGAGAGAGAGAGAGAGAGAGAGAGAGAGAGAGAGAGAGAGAGAGAGAGAGAGAGTCTCCGACACAAATAAACATACGACTATCGTCTCCACCACGAAGACAAGTTCATTTCACACCGCCTCAATCATTTCACTTACACTTAATCGCACTTGTCAATCCTAATAAGAAACACTGTTCGTCATGGCTTGATTCTTGCAGAAGAAAACCACTTCGAACACGTCTTCAAGGAAGCTGCGATTAAGGCAGATATTAATGGGCATGTCTCCATCACCAGATTCAAAGCTGAATACAACAATCATCATTTCCTCAAGGGTAAACACTTTCAGGAAATTTAAAATTATTTTTTTTTTATCTTGGATTAACGAAAGTTACAAAATAAGGCGTGGTAATTCTTAATATGTAATATAGAATTACCCACAGTAAGAAGTGAGAGCAAGATTCATTACTAGCGCGCTGAATCGGAACAGCATAAGTTATGTAGATAATACAGTGTTGATAGTAGACATCGAAAGGAAATAAAAAGAATTCTTACAGAAGGTAGCAAAAGAAAGTAAGAAGAAAGAAATAAAATCAGTTTTATAAAGAGAAAATGTATGGTCGTCCGCAAAAGGATAAGCCCAACATGCCAAATACAAATTGGAGATACCAAAAACAAGCAAATACTGGACAGGAAAGATGACACCGGAAAACGTAGCTGGATCGGTATAGCGGAAGTTTACTCCCAACAGCTAATCAAAATGTGAAACAGGAATCAAAACAGGATACCAAAAACAAGCAAATACAGGACAGGAAAGATGACACCGAAAAACGTAGCTGGATCGGTGTAGCGGAAGTTTACTCCCAACAGCTAATCAAAATGGAACATCACGTTCGAAACAAAGAAAACAGTACGGAACTGATATCTGCCCTCATATATAACAGTGAATTCGATACACGAGGGAACGGAAAATTTGTTCTATAGAAAAATGGTGAGAATATGATAAACTGGACAACGACAAAGTTTAAAAGAAAAAAAGGAGAATTATACTTAGTGTCAGGAAGAGACAGTTGAAATTTCTTGGATGGATAATGAGGAAAGAAGGTTTAGAACATTTGGCACACACAAGAAATATTGAAGCAAGCGAAACAGAGCAGAGTAGCGCATAATCTATCTCCTTAATCCTTTATTCACTGTGGCACATTTTTGGTATCAAATAAATTTCGAGTCCACATAAGCAGAAATAGAAGTTACATGCACCAGGAAATATATTCATATGTCCGAAACTCTGTCCACTTCGTGAAAATAATCAAAGGTGCTCCCATCCTATCCAACCAGATGGTGAGCTTGGACGTGGTGATTCTGTTCACCAAGGTACCCACGGTGGAGGCACTCTCAGTAGTCAGAGACAGATTGACCTCTGACTATTCACTAGAGGAGCGGACCAGTATTCCAATAGATAATCTGATGGAGATGTTGACTTTCTGTACACAAACAACACACTTCGGAATGGGATCACACATATATCGACAGGATGAGGACATAGCAATGGGCTCGCCATTATCACCAGCAATGGCGAATATATACATGGAATACTTTGAAGAAATGGCATTAGAATCTATATCGCTAAAGCCAACTTTATGGTTAGGGTACGTAGATGACACCTTCATACTCTGGCCACACCAGGAAGATGTTCAGGTTCTACTGGACCATGTGAACTCAATAAGACCTTCGATACAGTTCACAATGGAGAAAGAGAGTAACAACTCACTCCCATTCCTGGATGTACTAATATCTAGAACAGAGCATGGGTTCAAGACATCCGTATACTGTAAACCAACATTCACCGGACAGTACCTCAATTTCGACTCCCACCATCCATACAGCGTAAAGAAAGGGATCGTCCGATACTTACAACACCGAGAAAAAGTCATAAGTGGCGACCCAAAGACGTTAGATAAGGAATTGGTCAGTATAAGTAGTACCCTACAACGTAACAACTACCCTGGGTACATGGCAGCAGCCCCCCCAAAACTGGGATAAGCGGGTACAAAGAGGAGGAGGACAACAACACTCAGAAAACAGTCTGCCTGCCTTATGTGAAGGGGTTATCAGGGAAAATATAAAGGATCTGCGATCCATATAACATCAGGACAACCTTCAAAAGCGTGACCACACTTCGCAGATATCTCTCACGAGTGAGACCCACCACAGAGGGGAACATGACCAAAGACTGTGTTTACGCTATCCCGTGCAGCTGCGGAAAGGAATATAAAGGAGAGACAGGCCGCCCCCTCAAGGTAAGTCTTCAAGAACACCAGAAAGCTGTAACGCGAGGGGAAGTAGAAAAATCAGGCGTGGCTGACCACGTATGGAGAGAGAAGGGAGATCACCGCCCTCTGTGGGATCATGTTGAGATCATAGACATGGAATACCATTGGAAAATTCGTAAACTTAAGGAATCAGCACATATGCTAGGCCACAAAATCTCTTGAGCCGACCAAGCATGGAGATAAATACAATATGGGAACCAGAGAAAAGCAATGATAACAAAGTTGCAATATGAACTCTGGTAAAGATATGCAATGATAACAGCAAAATTGCAATATGAGCACTGGTAAAAAATGATGCTGAAAACATTAGGTTTATAATACTCAGAAGTTCATGCCCAGATGTCCTCAAGGACACATGGCACAGTGGATAAAGGCGTTGGTTAGATCCAGTGACAGACCCAAAGAAAGTGAGCTCAATACCTGGTTAAGGCAGTGGAGAAGTTTCAGAGGGAAAATTAGCAGGAGATAACTGATAACTGACATCCATCAAACATGGCACATGGAAATAGAACAGTCTACCACAGTGATCGAAATAAAGGGTTCAGTTCGAAATTCCAACCACCTGAAGAAGGCCGGAGCGTACAATGGCCGAAACGTTGTGACAAATATAGCGACAAAGATGAGGACAATAGTCCGGCTAATGTAAATACTGTACTGTAAAAGGAAAAATGTAGTAGAAAATACTTTTTGCATTATTAACCATTAAAATAAAGTAGTTTGTATTCGTAATTCTACGCCAATGGATAAATGGAATTTTAAAAACTAATTTTCCTTGGGTCAATTAAAAATAATTCTAATTTAAAAAAAAATATCAGGCCTAATATATCATGTCTAAGGGTATACGTTGCGAATTAGCATTAAAAAAAACCGTTAGTTAGATTCTTATGTAAATATTAAGCAGAACATGGTTTAGGGGAGATAGAAAAAAGATAAGCTTTACTAAAAACAACAATGGACACCAAATTGTAGATAGCCATGATCTCCTATGTCCTTTCGGGACACGTCATATAGGAAGAACACATGTAAGTTGTTTACAATAGTTACACGTGGTATTATATTTATATATTCAACTGCAATTTTGGGTAGTAGTAATTCAGTTATGTCAGTACTTTCTGTTATTTCCCGGATATGGTTTATGTCATTGATTAGATAACGACGGGTTCGCAGTAGAAACGATACTATAAATTTGACTTGAAAATATAGTACTATGACCTATGACACTGGATTAGTGTAAAGCAGGTAAGAACTGACGAACATACAACATCCACAGTAGGCTCAGGATGCTTAGCATTTATTAGACACATAGGTTGTTTAGTAACTATAGGAAACATAGAAGCTAGCACTTATAGGACACATAGGATTCCCATTAGTCATAGGAAACGTAGACGTATAGCACTCATAGGATACATAGGAAGCTTAGCAGTCATAGGAAACATAAAAGCTTAGAACCAATAGGGTACATCAGATGCTTAGCAATCATGAAAAATGTAGAGGCTTTCCCGTATAGGAACCAAATAATTCATAAGGATCAGAGGAAATACAGGACCTTAGCATTCGTAGGGCATGTAGGTTACTTGGTATTCATATGAAACAGAAGATTTGCTTTCATAGGACACGTAGGCTGCTTATCAGCCATATTTAATGTAGGATGCTTAATATTACCTGGAAACAATAGAAACTGCTTGAAATAAGAAGCCGAAGAGATGAGTTCGAATTCCAGTCGTGTTTTTTACAATCGCATACGCACATATATGTCTGTAAAAGGTATGCATCGATCTCTAGGTTCCTCAGCTATGGGTTAAATAGTAGAACATGTATATAGAAAGATTAGTTAACTCGAAAAATAATTATTAATGCAATATCCCTTCATAAAATAATGATTGTCATTAAAATCAAAAATGTTTCGGCTTCAAATGGGTCGATAAGCCGAAACAAAGCAAATAAATAAATAAAAAAAAAACATAGGAAGACTGGGATACATGAGAAGTTTAATATTCACAGGAAACATAATATGCTCCGCACCCATACGATACAAAATTTAGGACACCATACATTGCTTAACACTCATAGAAAAATAGGATGGTTAACATCCACGTATCACATAGGATAATTAGCACGCTTAGGACACATTCTATGCTTAACACTTATAGGATACATAGGATACTTAGTATAGATATTGTGACTATGGAATATATAGGACACACATGGCATAAATTTGTTAAATATATTATTTTGAAAGTGTGAATGAAAACTGTTAGAAGGACGAAGTTATGCAGAGTGCAAAAGTAATCATATATTCTCAGAGTTCTGAAATGGTTTAAAATCTAACACAAATATAAAGGGTGAGATGGGTAAATTGTCGCTGTTTTATATTTTTAATTTTGCGCATGCGCGCTGTTTGATCATGTTGACTGCACAGTATCGTAGGATCAGTTGGGCACTATCTGTGAGAAAAAGAACAATTCACAATTCACTCCGTCATAAATTTGGAAACGGCATTATGTAGAGCTTAACATTCGCACCGGAAACTCCAATACGAACATTTCAGAGAGTTTGGCTGTCAATCTGAGGACACTGTAGTGGATCAGAAAAGAGTTGGATGAGACCAACTGTGATTACGAAGGCACAGAAGCTCGGAAATCTCACTCTGATGGTTATGAAGAAAAGAACTACAGTCATCTTACCACAGGGCCTCAGAATCAACACGTAGTTCTACATCAGTTTCCTTAAATAATTAGTGCAGTCTTTGGTCAAGAAGGTGGCTA